CTGCAATTACTCCTTGAGAGCATCTCTCTCTAGAATATTGAGTATTGCTGACTTGAGCGTCGGAGTGTTTTCCCCGAGGAAACAACCTCGGGATTTTCAGGTGTAGAAGCAGCTGAGGACTTAAACAGTATTGGACTGCGAAACTGCTGAAACATTGGCGCCGTCTGTGGGAACTCGAACAAAAAGCTGTGTGATTTAACCTGCTGAAAAACAAAATGGTCAGTACCTTTACAGGAGAACGCCCCCCAAGAAATGAAATAGACGAATAGGAGGACGATCACGTATCTGAGGCCGGATTGAATGACTTTAGGCCGATGCCAAGAAATTTTTTTGTAGGAGGAGCCGAACAGGATCACCTAAGTGAGACGGATGATGAAAGAACACCAACTGGGTATGCAACCCAGCCTTAGCAGTTCCAAGCTCCAACAGGAACGAGACAAAGATCTGCCAGACCGAACAATGCACAGCGTGAACGACCTGAAAGGTCAACAGAACCTGCTCGGACAACCGAGCTCAAAGAGAGAACCAGAGTTCTCGAAATGGCAATGGGAAGAATCCTTGCCCGCTTAATCCCTGATGACCCTCTGATTCCTTTGCTGAACAGGGATGCACAACCAGCTGCGGTTGTGGCGACTAGAAACTCACCCGCTCTAAGCAATATAGTAGTGCCGACCAGGCCGAGGGGAAGTGGGAAGTTGAATATCGAGCCCAGCTCTTCCAAATACAGTGAAGAATTGATGAGAAAGAACGCAGACCTTGAAAGGCAACTGCGGGATGTACAGAAATCCATTGACGAGCTGAAAAGCCCCCGGTCGCATCAGCAGACTTTGGATTTGGATAGTGCTCCGCTGAACCTATCCATCACGGCAGAGCCGTATCAAGAGGGATTCAAAATTCCCCACCTAGAGACATATGATGGCACGAAAGACCCGGATGAACATCTACACACCTATCAAGCCATCATGAGGATTCAAAACGCCAATGATGCCATGATGTGCAAAGTGTTCCCGGCGACACTGAAATCAACAGCCCGAAGATGTTATCACAAACTCCCCAGGCATTCAATAGATTCATTTTCCCAGCTCGCCAAGTTGTTCTCTAACAAATTTGCAAGCCAAAGGGAGATCAAGCGCACAGCAACTGAGCTGATGCAAGTTAGCCAGAAGGAAGGGGAGTCTTTGAGGGATTACATGCAGCGGTTCAACAAAGCCACACTGGACATTGATAATGTCCCAGATACAATCTGCTTGTCCGCCCTGTTACATGGGTTGAAGCGTGGCCGGTTCCTAGACGACCTGCTTGAGAATCCACCGAAGACGTGGAACGAAGTGAATGACAGGTCGGCCAGCTTCATACTGTCAGAGGATTTTCAGTCGTCCAAGCGACGAGCTGACGATAAGCCGAGCAGAGGCCAGGAACAACCACCGAGAAGAGAAGAGAAGAAGAAGCAGAAGGTCGGTGAGCAATGGGGGAAACCAGCTGAGTTCCCAACATATGCCAGTTACATTCCTTTGACCTTACCCAGGTCTCAAATCCTGGCACAAATTCAGCACTGGGTTCGGAGACCTCCACCCCCGCTACATGATTCCCCGAGGGCAGATAAGAGCAAGCATTGTGACTACCACCGTGTATATGGTCACAATACAGAGGACTGCCAACAATTGAAGGATGAGTTAGAGTTTTTAGCTCGTAATGGGAAGCTAGAAGGGTATGTTCAGAAGCCTCACGCCTAGCAACCCACTCAAACCCATTTTGTGCAGGTGTATGATCGACCTCAAGGACAGAGGTACCAGCATGGAGGGACACAGGATGCATATCAGGATAACCAGTATCCTTCTGAACCGAGCAGAGCGTACCGAGGACGTCCTTTCAACAGGAGAGGGCAGGGACCGAGAACTACTGCCCCAAATCAAAAAGACAGAAAAGGGGTTATACTGGGATACCCCCACCTTCTGGTACAATAAACATGATATCGGGTGGTGTTCACTCAGGGGGCCAAACCGCCCGAGCTCGCAAGGCATATGCTCGACAGGTGATGACCGTCAACAAAAACAGACCATTGAAACGGCCGTTTGAGGAAGCAGAATGGGAAAATACGCCCATTACATTCAGCCCGGCAGATTACAAGCGAGCAGAAGGAGAGCCCGACATTATGATGCCCCATTCAGATCCCTTTGTGGCAACAGTTCATATAGGCAATCATAATGTCAATAAGGTGTTTATTGACACGGGCAGTTCACCAGATATCCTATATTGGGGTTGCTTCCAGAAAATGCAGCTAAATCCGAGCTCGCTTCAAAAGCTTGAAGGGCCAATATACGGGTTTGATAACCAGCCCGTCCCAGTTGAAGGAGTCATTACCCTTCCTATATATGTCGGCTCAGAACCGCGCTTCAGGATGGCTTCCGTCACCTTCCTGGTCGTTAAGATGGAATCAGCTTTCAATGCTATACTGGGAAGAGCCACACTGTGCGAGCTGAAGGCTGTTATCTCACAGCCCCACCTCTGTATGAAGTTCCCAACTCCTCAGGGGGTAGGAGTGCTGAAAGGAAATCAGAAGATGGCTAGAGCCTGCTATCAAGACACGTTCAAGAAAGTCGAGCTCGCTGCAGCCCC